TGCTGAGACTCAGGGTGGATTGCAGACTACAAGAACAATGCAGTCATAACAGCATAAGCCAGGGATGTCAAATATGTAACCCGGGGGCCGGATGAGGCCCCCGGAGGGCTTCTATCAGGCTCGCACTGGAACTGGCCATCTCCTGCTTCCAGTTCTGTTGCTGCTGCTGCATCATAGCTTATTTCGCTAGTCTCTCTCAATTGCTCAGCCATTTCATGTTTTCCCCTGGGTCCTAGACTCAGAACTCTGAGCATGAGATTTCTGTGGTGAATATCAGTAAATCAAAAGTAGGTTTGCAGCTTACAGATACACACTTGAACAGCATACTGAAGATTGCAACCGCACAGACATTTTAATGCAATAATTCAGAGCAAGACGTGTCGGTTATCAGATACTGTAAAATAAACAAAATATTGCAAGAGTGCTAATGTTTTAAGCATGTTTTTACTTTGAGTAAAAGAAATCTTTGTGTTTGTGTCCTTTATAAAGTTTATATCTCCAGTACCTGGCATTACATTTTATAACAAATATGGCCCCGCCCAACGAGGTCACATTTATGTCAGATCCGGCCCTCATAACAAATGAACCCCTGGCATAAGCCATCCAGTGAACAATGCAATAGGATTCTAATTACAGAATTAGTAGTCAATGTAAACTACAGTTGTCTACAGAACGTGCAATAGAATTACACAGGCAGAAGACAATGCAGTAACAGTTCATATTAATTTACCAGTAGATATATTAGTTAATTGGTCTGTAATTTCCAATTCAGGATCCTCCCTGAATTTCTTTTTAAAAACTGGTATTTTGTTTGCTAGAGAGGCCAGTTTTTAGTGACAACACGTAACTGTTGGTAAGAACAACAATTTCACATTTGAGTTCTCTAAGAACCATTGGAAAGGGTATGCCATCTGAACCTGGAAACCTATTGTTTTCAATTGTCCCAATTGCCCTAGAATTTTTCTATTATTGCCTTTATTTGACCCGATATTTCAGATACCTTTCCTGAAAACAGCCCTTCTGGTGTAGCCTTATATTTTCCACAGTGAAAACAAGCACACTAAAAAAATATATCAATTTTTCCACTAATTGTTTATCTTCCTACCTCCTTTGTTATCCAACATCCTAACCACTTTCCTGGCCACTTTTCTGTCCCTGATGTAGTTCAAGAAAATCTTATTGTTTGTGTTAATGGTTTTAGGAGTCTGCTCTTCAGATTCTCTTTTTGATCACCTGTTGTCAATGTACATTTATTTTTCCAGAACCTGTGCACCTTTCATTCATCTCTTTTGGGCAAGCCTTCTGCTTTTTAAAGAAAGCTGTTTGGCTTCCTTGACTTGGATTGGCATTGTTGTAGACTTGGTGGGATGTTTCCTTTCATAGCATAGCATCCCCACAAAACTAGTTTGTTAGCCTGTGGAAAAAGGAATTGCTGGCTGACACTGCTTGTGAATGCTTTTATGTTTTGATTGTCACTTTTAAAATGGTTGTTTAAACAGTGGCACCAGTGTCTGGGGGACAAAAGTGCCTCTGCTTTGGACAAGAGTGATAAAAAGCTCCTAGAATTATACTGATGGCACTTGCCTAGTTATGTCAAAATGCAGTGTGTTGTTTATCACTTCTCATTCATAGCAGTGGATACAGCTGTAAACCATACACATGGGCCTATGGAGACAGGGGGAACAAAAAATATGATGAACTGTAAGCAAAAGGACATTTTAGCTATGTCAAAGGGAAAAGAAACCAGTTTTACATAAAATTAAGGCTTAAGTGAACATATGGCATAGTTTCCTTTTGCCTTTCCAAAAAACATTATGCTGATTATACCTTCAATTGTCCAATCTGGCATCTTCCACACAGTCTGCGTAAGCTGTTCCACCACTCTGTAAATACAATCTAGGGCTGCATTAAGCAGATTTTGTGCATTATAATAAAAACTTTTTGATAATACAATAAAATTCAATAAACTCTAATTCTTAATTTCATTAGAGCTTTAGATTTTCTGGATGCACAGATTGCCAGCTTTTCATTTATTTTATATAATGTGTCATTGAGTTGAATTACTGACAGCTCGACACACACATGCACAATTAAACCTTTTATCATAGACATAGGTTAATGCTGATGGGCTGAAAATGCCAGGAATCAAAGGGCAAAATCCCCTGTGAATTTGTCCTGTGCACTGAAATGAATGAGAGGGGTACAAGAATACTCCCTCCCCATTTCAACAGAGTATGTGAAGGATTCC